AATAAGTTTTTTGCATTTAGGTATCTGCATATTGTAGTGTTCAGTGAACTGTCTTGTTTTCAAGCCAGGTGGCACTGGTGAAGAACCTGATAAAAATTGTGTTCAGCTAGATGTGAAGTGTTGAATTGCTTTTTTATATTAAGGGTGACTTGTTTTTAGTTTTGCTATTAACACTGTACATAAAACTGAAACTAATTTGTAGTATTTCAGTGTATTCAGATATTCTGTATTTGAGCAAAGCAGTGTGTGAACATGAATTTCACCTTCTCTGATAAAATAATTGGGTTTGGTTGCATGCACATAGGCCTCATGTTAACCAAATGAAAATCTACATGGTAAATAAAGGCTATAATTTAGTTGGGTTTATTAAAATTTTTTTTTAGCTATTTGTTTATAGCTAACAGTGAAATTAGGAGTCTACAGCTCACTGCGGATATGCATACCTGCAAAGGTAGTTAGTTTTTGTTTAGAGAAATGTCCATGAAAGCATGACAATTGCCTGACATTTCAGATGGTAAATATTTACCTCACTGCTGAGATAATTGAAGGGGAAAGAAAAAAGGCTTTCAAAATCCTTGGAATATAAAAAAGAGGATCTTGAGTGCTCAGGATCTTTCTGAACTTGCCACTTTTTGGCACTTTTAAGTTTTTTTTTTTTGTTGTTTTTTAAGGTGGGAGAGGTGGGGAGGAGAGGGCTAATAAGCTTTAAATTGTGGCATTTCTTTGTTGGAAACATTCCTAAGTGATTAAATTTTCTGTTATAATTTGTAGTGATTTTCTGTATATAATTTGTACTAATGCAGACATAATGGAAAGTGATACTAATCTCTATAAAACGTACCTATGTATCTCTATAAAATCTCTATAAAAATGCCTGATTTGGGTTTGTGTTATGACTTTCTGTGGCTGACTCTCTCTGTGTTGTATTTTCTTAATTGAACAGAGGATATTCTAGTCTATGTCATTTTTTCCCTCACTTCCTTGGAAGAGAAACAAAAATGAGATCCAAACACTTTAGTTTTTTTGCAGTTGAATCACCATATGCCTGTTGAATAGAAACAGGCATATTGAGTAGAAAATCTGGTTGCATCTCCAAGACACCTGTGTGCTCTTTGGTGGAGACATTTCCAAGGTGTGATAAGATCGATTCTGCAAGCAAGTATACTGTGAATCCTGATAATATGCATAAAAACTTGATTAAACCAAAGTGGTGGTTAGATATTGCAGCCGTATCTTTTCAAATTGATGACCTGTGAATTTCTTAATTTTTGAAAATTTTTAAGCATAGGATCATGGGTTTTTTTTTCTCCTCTTTGTTGCGGTTGTCTGACAGAGGACTTATTAGCAAGGGGGTCAGACTTACAGGAGGTCATCTGGGGCTAATCTGTAGCGATGCCTCCACCAAACCGAGAGAAGCTGTAGAGCTTAATGGTACCTGACCTGACTTTTATTCTGTTATTTAGGTCTGAAGTTGAAACACAGCTAATTTTGGAACAGTTTTGTTCTCCTCCTTTTACATGGGAGTGTTTTTTTTTAATATATGTTTATTAGAGTAACGTAGCTTTGCTGACATGACCATTTTCTTAGCCATCTTCTCCCTTTCTTGGCCACATGGATGCATGGTCACCTATGTATTTTTGTTCTTTTTGTACCTGTAAAGGAGATCAAGGTAGCTTTTACAAGTAAGTATATAATATGGAGCCTGATTACTGCTTTTTTTCTTATATAACTTCTCTTCCGGTGTGCCACAGGATTATTTAGAGTCTTGTGTCATAGTAGCATGTGGACTGGAGGTCCTTAGGCCAAAAAAGATGAAAGGGGAAAAAGTATGTCCCATGTTCTGTGTAGAAGAGCACTGTGGGAGACAAGGAGGCACCAAAGCAGACAGGAGCAATAGATCAGTTAGAGCAGCAATTGCAGTTACTGGATATAATCATAGAAACTATGTATAGTAAGTAAGAATTTCCCTTTAAAAAAACAACAAAAAAGGCCACCCTTAGGTTTTTGTTTGTTTGTTCTCCCCCCTCCTCCTCTTCTGAAGAAGGAGCTCTCAGTTTCATTGTAATGCAACCGATATGGTAAGTATGTTAAAGCCCTTCTGCAAAATCTATCTGAATAAACAGTATGTCATACTAAAAAAAAAATGACATTTTTGGTAGCAAGAAAATTAATTAGTATGTTTTTGTATGGTTGCTTTTGGGGAGGGGTGGAGGTAGAAATTGTGGAGAAATTTCATAGTAACCAACTGAAGATGAAAAAGGATTTGGGGACTAACTCCTAGAAATAATCTTACTGTAACACTGTTCCAGTGAGTAATGTATTTCCTCTAGAGGGCAATGCTTCACTTTCCTCTGAAAGAACAGGCGAGTAGGGGGAAAATATGTATTTTGAGAGGGGATAAAGAAATGCTTTCAATGCTGTGTTCCGCTTGACTACTGCTTTTATGGCTTATGTGTGTAGAAGAGAGCTGCTTAAAAGCCGAGTACCCCAGGGTCTTTGAAAGCCAGAGTTCGTAGTAACTTCAAAGACTATTTTAAGACAATGTCGATCTGAGCAGCCAGGGATAAATGAAAATGTTTAGATACCTCATTCTTGCAGCTGGCATATTGCTCCTGTTAGTTCATATTGCATTTTAGAACTGTTTCCTTTCCTTCAAATCTCCAGAGCTATTTATTGACAAAAGAGAATGGGTAGCAATAGGATAGAAAAAAAATGAGGAAGCAATGAAATGGGATTTTGGATAACAAACTGCAGTCATACATATTCAATGTTTACATTCATTACTAGTGCAATTATCTGTTAATAGATGAAACGCTTTCTGTGTACTCTTAACTTTCTTGCTGCTAAAATTCTTATTCTTATCAAAGTACAGATTCTTACAAATGATGCAAAGTTAGCATTGTGCTTGAGGACGAACTGAAAGCTAAGCTGAATTTTTATTTTGTTTGTTTGTTTGTTTTCTCCCAGGTTTGGCCGTTGCCTACAAGCTGACATCCTTGTGTAATACGTTGTAGCATTTGTTTGCGCAGAGGCTGGGATTTTGGGGTGGTACTGGCAGCTTGAGATTGGGGCCTTTAGCAGAGCAGTCTTTCCCCTCTGCCAGAGCAAGGGGGGTTGTGTGAGAGTGAAATCCTTCCTTAAAGCTGCCTTGTGCCCCTTGCACCTCCCTAGTTCCTTGCCTCTTGCATTTGTGGCTTCTCTTGCCTGAAGTCCCCCTTTAATACAAATATCAAGGTTTGCTGGACTTTCCGCACCTTCCTTTTCGTAAGGTGATGTCTGAGTGTGTGTGGCTGTGTTTCTTGCACTGATTAGTTTCTTCCCTTTTTTTTTTTTTATAGTACAAAGTTAGATTTTTTCACTGCAATAAGGTTTCTAGGAAAAGTATTCCTAGGGTTTGTTTATTTTAAGTTATAGTCTTATTTTCAATCCCTGGGTTTATATAAATGGAAGGGAGAACGTATGAACATGTTTTGGTCCTCAAATGCAATCATGCACTTCGGCTTATGTGATATTATTCTCACAGAGATTCCATGTCTATTCCAGCTAGGATAGAGTTTTTAAAGGTAAAATTAAGTATCCCTCTCTCATCATTAAGAGTTTATTTTTGTTTTAAAAATTGTTTTAGAAGACACTTTAATATTGCTGATAAGATAAAGATAATATACTTCTAAGCTAATAAAAATAAATTACTTGTAAACAAAAGATTGAAAACTTTTGGGGGTGAAAAGCCAGTTTAGAATGATGTTTATTTTGTTTCGTACCTCTTGAAGACTGAGAGATACTTGGAAAAGCAAATAGTTAAAATTCACATTAGCTTGGCACTGAAAATGAAAAGAGCATCGTAGGAACCAGAAGCCTTTTCCCATTGAAAAGGCTACTGCTATTGTGGAATCGGATAATATAATTTTACCTGAATCTTTTTTTTTATACTTCCAATATTTTCATTTCTAGAATTTAAGTTAAATTACTTCTGAAAATTCAGTAACATTATTAGTAATGATGCCAATCATTACTAATGTCATGCACAAGAAGTCATGTTAGAAGGGTGTAGCCTTGTACATTTTAGTTCATTTTTCATGTTCCCACCTTTGAAAGCTTTTAGCAGGATAGAAAGAATTTGTTTACGTTAGCCATTTGTTAAAAATATTGGACATTTTTGTGTGGCATATATATGCAATATCTTGTTTTTTCTATAGTAGCTTTGCTTATCTAATAAATTTTGCAGTTAATTATACATCACTGCCTGATTGTTGTTGTTATTTTTTAGGGTGCGTTGTCTGTTTTTTGGTGCTTTTAGCTTTTAAGACATCTAAACTTCTTTATTTCAGCTATTGGTATGAAATGAACCCATATGGCCAGCTGAATCCTGCTTTCCAAGATTTCTGTGCTTGCGTGTACTATAAAGTAACAATGTGATTCAAGAAAGTGAAGCTATGTATGTATCTTAGAAAGATAAGTAGGTATGGATTACACATGCATATGTGTAAAATATGCACAAGACTTGCCTTATTTGAGTCCTTGTACTAATACAGAACTCCAGTATTAACAGTTCTCCTTAATAAAGAGCTTGGCATTTAGGTTTAGCCTTTAGTTAGAAAATAGTATACACTATGATGTTATTTTTATTAGCGATTTTGAAACATCTAAAACATGATGCTGAGCAATCCTACTTTGAAAGCCTGTTTTTGTTAGTGACATATTTTATCATTATTCTTTTAAGATTAGTTTTCTCGTGTTCAGTTGTGTCAGCAAGTGCTTCCTTTGAATAAAATAAGCACTGCAGTTTGAAGGTACAGTTTTCAGACATCTCTGTTTCAGCAGATCTCTGGCTTTGTTTTAACGGATAGTGCCAAACAATATGATCCATTGAGTGGTGCTGGTAACCCGAGAAGGGGCGAGGAAACAAAGGGCGGCGGCGCGTTGGCGTTGGCCGCGCGGTGCCCAGCGCACAGTTCACTGCTCGGTCACCTGTGCCTGACCGCGCGGCCCTGCGGCCGCACGCGCTGCCCGCCTCGTTATTCCCGTTATTCCCCGCAGAGGGTGAGGCCTCTCCCGCCCGACCGGAACTGCTCGCTCATTAGAGGCTGCCTTTGGCACCCGACGTGTCGCGCCCGCCAGCCTTCCTACTGCGATCAAGGGCATTCATGCTCGCTCGCGTAAACACGCGCCCGGCGCCGACCCCGGCGCAGAGCCGCCTCTGCTTGGAGCGCTCGGGAAAGGCAGGGACTCCTGCAATAGGCAGGAATGAAGCTATTGGAAGAGGCACCAATTTATCCACTCAAAATACAAGGGGAGTAGAGGGGAGAAAGCATTCACTTTAACCAAAGTTCAGTCTGCCGCTCAGGACCCATCATGTGTTTGAAACCCTGGAGATGCTTGGAAGGAAATTTAGACTCATTAGTATCCTCTGCTGGAAACTTTTCTCCTTAGGTGCAGAGTTTGGGATCCACTGTATTTTTAAACATCTCTAAGAATGTAACTTCATAGTAAAGCTCTGTGAGCAGTATGATCTGTTCATGGCATGTATAAGGTATTGCCATTAATAGATAATGGCTATTGACAGGGTAAATACTTCATATATATATATATTTTTTTCTCCTTTCTGTTAGAGATAGTTGTATTTCTGTATGCTGGGTAGGACTTTTAAATGAACTTGCTTTGGCATATGATTTTCATGAAAACAGAGACTCGGCTTTCTTTATTCTGGAGTGGACATTCAAGGATTACACAAGAGATCTTTGCCCTTTTAATTTGCAATTAACTGATACACACAGAGGTGTGTAGTCTCCCCCGCCCGAAAAAGAGATCTTATCAATGAAAGCTCTGTTAACTAGTTTTTATTTTAGGTCTCAGCCGAATGTGCATGTCTTGCCAGTAGAGCACATCTGGTGGGTCCTCAGCCCTGGCTGCCTGCATATCAGCTGTACGGGTTTCATGGCTCGGTGAGAGCCTGCTCAGTATGTGCTGCTGCAGTGCAAATACAAACTGCTGTAGGAGGTTGTTTGAAATGTTCTCTTGGCCACTGTTGATTAACAAATCTATATAATTTCCAGCTGCAAAACTGAGAGTTCATTTCTGTGTATGCTTATTAGCCATGTGTACAGTTCCTTGAAAATGATCATGTTCATCAACCTACGTGTACAATCAGGCCACTAACTTCACCATTTTGAAGTTCTAAACACCCTTAAATGCTGAGTACTTGAAATGATACTGTAAAAAATTCTTACTGCCCCATGTCAACTTCTGCTGGCAAAGATTTCACAGAAAAAATTAACATGTGCATGCTTTATTATGCTTCTTAAGACTTCGAGATAGCTGCGAAGTCCTGTTTCATACTCACCCTTCTCTAAGTAGTTATTTTACAGAAGTAAACAGTAACGGAGGAAAAATCCAGCTCAAGCTGAGATATGTCATTTAATGAAAATGAAGATTAGATGCAGAATTTTTATTTATTTCAGTTTAACTTTTGTATTTCTGCAAAGTCTTATAGAAGAAAGTAACAACATGAGCTGTGACAGGATGAGAAATAAGTGGAAATACTGTTCTATATTTTTGTAGGTAACTCATAGAGATTTTTCCCACCCTTTGCAGTTATGGCACTGGGATAATTTAAAATGTTCCCTTCTGGAAAATGTGTGTGTTGAGTGATGCCGACTGAACTGTTATATACTAGTATTTCGTTTAATTTCCACTGAAGTAAGGGGAATGGCAGGTGAATTAAATATAGTTTGGTGTTTGCTGATTGGTAGAATATGAATTAATGCACAATAATATATGCATTTTTTAATTTAGGAGACCATTTTATTTTTAAAATAGCTAAACACAATTCTTCATTAATTTGCATGGCAAAGTAATATTTTGCCAAAAGCATCTTTACAGATTGGTCTCTTTTTAAATAGGACTGCTATGGAAAAAATAAGCATGTAATTTTAAAGTATATTTGACTTTTTTGAAATATATTTTGATTTTTTTCCCCCAAATCTGTCTTGCAGAGTAAGTGTTTTCTGTGTTTGCGAAATGTGATGGAAGCTGATGTTATGCATACTTTTAAACTCCTAATAAATAGTTCTAACTGAACAACACCTTTTGTTTTTGCATTTGTTCTCCCTGGTATCTCTTCAGAATTTAAAACATTAAGCTTCAGGCCATAATTCAAAATTTATTAATATACTGTTTTCTCCTGATGTGTTTTTGTGTTAGGTTTTAGATTTAGTGTTTGAAATGTTTCAGATATCTTGGTGGCTTTGAGACATGTTGTATAGAAGTGAATAATAAATTATGTTGTTTTAAGATTAAGATTTTATGTCTAAATGTTACTTTTAAGTGTTACTTTAAAATATATATTCATTCAATGAATGTCCTTTTGTCAGTAAATTCAGTTCTAAAAACAGATCAGATGCAAATAAGGTGGCTTCTTTTAGCATTTTTTCAAGTCAGTATTTCTTTGAGTGTTTATTTGTTTCTGTGAACGTGACTTTGGAAACTTTCATTATTTATGGTTAGAATGGTAAATGTAGTTTGCAAGAAGTGATTTGAAATAAACTGTGAATGAATCACATTTGGGTGATAGAATATTGAGTTAGAGTCTGATGGCGTTTGTCTTCCAGCTGTATCACTGAAAGTTCTAATAAAAGGTGTCACCTTTTCCAAATTTCAAAGTCACTTTTATGTTTGTTTTGAATGGCATACACTATTATAACAGCTGGTTCTAAAATTCCGTGCGTGTTGAGCACTGCTTGGTAACGTGCCCTAGATGTTCATATGGTGTTTCAATGATACTGATCAGCTGCTTATTTGGTACAACTCTTCAGTTGCATGATTTTATAAAAAAGCTTCTGCTTTTGTTTCCAGTATCCAAGAGGAAGATATGAAATTAAAGCAAGAATTGGAAGAAAATCATGTATATCATAAATTGCTTATAGTTTACCGGTAGAGAGTTAGTTTTTAGAGCTGCTGATAGCAAGAAATTTTTTATGCAGAATAAGTACCTGAGCTTCCAAAGAAAGGAGCAGTGCTGTTTGCATGTTACCTAATTTAAAGAAAGCTTGAATTTAGTTGATCAGGTTCAGAGTTGGTTTCATTATAGATTTGGATATGCAGTATAAATTGAATCTTGTTGTACATAGTTAACAATTCTAGAAAGGCTGTTTTCTGCTCAACCTAGTACAAAGCAACAGCCTATCCAGTCTCTGCTATCAGCATGCTGCAATGGAGAAAAGAGTTACAGCTTCAAAACTGCAGCAGTGTTGCAGGTGCAACTGAGCATAGATCATAATGGGCCGCATCACAATTTGCTTCATCACAAGGGATAACGGACTGCATGAAAATGGGTAATGGGCCCCTCCCAGTGGGCCGCATCACAGTGGATGATGGGCCGCATCACAATGGGCCACATCACAATGGGCTGCATCACAATGGATAACGGGCCGCATCACAATGGGCTGCACGACGACGGGATGCATCAAAATGGAATATGGGGCGCATCACAACGGGCTGCATCACAATGGAATATGGGGCGCATCACAACAGGCTGCATCACAATGGATGATGGGCTGCATCACAAGGGGTCGCATCACAATGGGTCGCATCGGGGTGGATAATGGGCTGTATCATAGTGGGCCGCATCACAACGGATAATGGGCCACATCACAATGGGCCGCATCACAGTGGATAATCAGCCGCATCACAATGGGCTGCATCACAGTGGATAACGGGCCGTGTCACAATGGGCCACATCACAGTGCATAATGGACTGCATCACAATGGATAAAGGGCCGCATCACAATGGACTGCATCACAGTGGACCGCATCCCAGTGCATAATGGGCTGCATCACAATGGGCCATGTCGCAATGGATAATGCGCCACATCACAATGGGCTGCATCACAATGGGCCACATCACAATGGGCCGCATCACAGTGGACTGCATCACAGTGAATAGTGGGCCGCATCGCAGTAGGCCACATCACAATGGGCCGTATCACGATAGATAACGGGCCGCATCACAATGGATAATGGGTTGCATCACAATGGGCCGCTACACAGTGGGCCGCATCGCAGTGAACTGCTACCCAATAGATAGTGGGCTGCATCACACTGGGCTGTATGACAATGGATAATGGGCCGCATGAAAATGTATAACGGGCCGTGTCACAGTAGGCTGCATCAGATTGGGCTGCATCACAGTGGATAATAGACCCCATCACAATGGACAATGGGCCGCATCACAGTGGGCTGCTTCCCAATAGATAGTGGGCCACATGACAATGGATAATGGGCCGCATGACCATGGGCTGCAACACAAAGGATTGTGCTCCACATTACAATGGGCCACCTAACGAGGGATAATGGGCCGCATCACAATGGGCCGCATCACAGTGGGCTGAGTCACAATGGATAAAGGGCCGCATCACAGTGGGCCACATCACTGTAGGCCACATCACAATGGGCCGTATAACAGTGGATAAAGTGCCGCATCACAATGGGTTGCATCACAATATATAACAGTCCGCATCACAATGACCCACATCACAGTGGATAATGGGCCGCATCACAGTAGGCGGCGTCAAAATGGATAAAGAGCCGCATCACAATAGTTAACAGGCTTCATCACTTTGGGCCACATGACAATGGAACACATCACAATGGATAATGGAGTGGATCACCATGACCTGCATCCCAATGGATAATGGGCCACATCACAATTTATAATCGGCCACATCACAATGGGCTGCATCACATTGGATAATGGGCCGCATCAGAATGGATAAGGGACCGCATCGCAATGGGCTGCATTACAATGGGCCCCATCACAGTGGATAATGGACCACATCACAATGGGCCTCATCACAGTGAGCCGCGTCACAGTGGGCCGCGTCACAGTGGGCAGCGTCACAGTGGGCTGCATCTCATTGGATGATGGGCCACATCGCAATGGGACTCATCACAATGGGCCGCATGACAATGAATAATGGGCTGCTGCACAATGAGTCGCAAAATAAATAATTCACAGTAAAATATGGATGTGGAGCTGCTGGAGAGTGTGCAGCGCAGGGCTACACGGATGATCAGGGGCCTGGAACATCTGCCCTATGAGGAGAGGCTGAGGGAGCTGGGCCTGTTCGGCCTGGAGAAGAGAAGGC